GTGAGCAGTCAAGCTTTCCTAGCTCAGTGGGCAGTGATAGTCTTCATGCAGGTAAGGGACATGAGAAAAAGGCTAGTTTGGAAGGAAGATCATGAGCTTGATTGGGTCTTAGGTCAGTTTCTAGTCCCTCTGAGGCAATCAAACAAGAACACAGCAGTTACTTGGCTTGGAGATTGTAAGTTCGTGAGTCACTGATCTTTAGATGATAGCAATTGAAATGGAAGAGATGGATGAAATTGTTGAGGGAATTGGAAAAGAAGACCAAGAGCAGGGAACTGAAGAACTTGTAAAGCCAAATTGTGAGAATGAGTCAACCCATGGCCTGGAGGGTGAGTAGCTGCAGAGGAAGGAGGAAAACCAGGAAAGTATATTGCCATAAAAGCTAAATAGAAGAGGGAAAAAAAAACTTCCAAAACTTTCCAAAAGGAAGTTTTGGATAAGAGTTGAATATTGCATTAGTTAGCTTTCCACTACTCTGACAAAATACTTGAGATAACCAACTTAGAAAGACAAAAGGTTTATTGTGGCTCATCATTTCAGACATTTCTGTTTATGGTCATTTGGTGCCATTGTTTTGAGCTCATGGAAGCATGGTACAACATGAGTGTGTGGCAGAGGAGGCCTGTTCACCTCCTGGTGGGAGATAACACACACACACACACACACACACACACACACACACACACACAGAGAGAGAGAGAGAGAGAGAGAGACCTCAGGGCTCCATGACTCATGACCAAACTTCCTTCCAGTAAGCCTCACATACAGAAGGTTCCACCACCTCCCAGTCAGCAGAGCCACAGGTCAGCAGCAAAGCCTTTAGCAAACAGGCCTTTGAGGGACAAAGGATAAATAATATTGACTTTTCAGCTCTGGCTGGGTGAGCACCGAAACAGATTGGACTCAGTGGTATACTGGCTGGTAAGAGATTTTGCTGGAGTGCTGAAGAACAAGATTACAGGCCAAGTTGGAATGGGCCAAGGAGCCAATGAAAGACAAAGGTATAGAGACAGTCAGTAGAGGTAATTCTCTCTAAGTTTCCATGGCGGGGGAGGAAAGAAACAGCTTCAGAAAGGACGGACGTTGAAGGAAGTTGATTTTTCATTGGCTTTTAAGATGGGTAACTAACTATGGGACATCCTAAACATGGATAGATAGAGCTTAGTTTGGGGAAATGTTGAGATTGAGGCACAGAGCAGATAACCAGGGTGGAAATTGCCTGAGAAGACAAGAGGAGATACAGTCTAGAGCCCGGATGGACAGATTCCCACTGCACGAAGAGAAACAACTTTTGTTACAGCAGGAGCAAAATGGGAGCTGGCAGGTGTAATTGCAAGCAGGCTTGTTGTACTTTGGTTGTGGGCAGTTTCTCTCTACTCTTCCATTTTCTTGGTGAAGTATTTCACATGGCTGAATCAGGGTGAAAGAGAGGTGGGGAAGGTTTCCAGAGAGCAGTGAAAATTGAAGTGGATGACCCTGCTGATCAGAGAGGCTGCTGTTATTTCTGCTATTGTTTGGATAATTTTGTCAGTTGAAAATATGAGCTAGGAATACATTTTCCATAGAACATGCTTCCCTAGAAAAGTTATCATGACTCATTATTCATAACGCTCACAAAAGTCTGTGTAACTCAAAGTGAAGTGGTAATATAATAATCCTACCAGTATTTTTCAGCTTGAGTTGCTCCATGTAGGTATTCAGTAAATGCTTTTATGAGACGAGGAATGTTCCTAGCCATTATTTACAACAAATTAATGTGTTTCATTTTGGGCAAGTAAAGTGTCTCTCCAAATAACTCTTTGTGATCACAATACCTTTTTTTTTTCTTCTCTCATCCTCCTCGTCCTTTATCCTCCTAGAGATGGCCAAGAAAATTTAAAACTTTCATATATATCCTATAGCAAACATCCACACACTGATAGATGTGGATAATTCATAGAAATTACAACTGCTTTGGATAATTCATAGGAAATATAATGAAAACATTTCTTCTATTTTGTAAAGTCTAGATTCAACATCATTATTCTCCACATTTTCACAGCTACATAGAAGAGTCAAATGTACTGGGTAGATTATCAGTGGGCTTTTTTTTCAATAAAGCTTTTTATCTTAAACTTACTATGTTAAGCCATCAGAAGGTTACAGTGCCTTACCTTCTATGTAAGAGGTGATAAATTAATATTTGTCAGTTGATTTTAGCCATAAAATGTACTGCCTCAGTGGACTTGCTCTAATGCCCACAAAAGCTTATGTGACCTGAGGAAGTCATCCAGAGCAGAATGGGCATTTTTTTGGAATTTTTGTACTCGAAGAAGCCTTCAGATCATCAGTACAACAAGTTACTTTCTCTGCAGGCACATTTTTCTCCTGCTCAGACTGTATGAACACCCCAGCAGGGATGATAAGCAGCAATCTAGACAGCAAGGGAAAATATTTGGTAAAAAGGTGCTCCTGCCCTTTCTCTTCTTAGTTTTTAGAGCCAAAATCTTAGTTGCAGAAGCTGAAAAGAATAGAAACACAAAAGTTGAGACAGCAAAGTTGTAATGTGACAGGTGATGAAGCAAAATATTTTGGTTTGTATTTTGAAATGCAAAGCAAAAACAACGACGACAACAACAACAACAACAAGACACAAGTGCATACCAGGACTTGTTAATTATAATTTGCATTTGCAGAGCTCAAAGCAGCCCTGGGGTTTACTATCCTTTAAAACAAATCACTATTTCTCCCCCTCACATGACAGCCAGGCCACCTGAGGCACATTGAGAGTTCAAATGTGGCAGCTGTGCAGCAATTCTGCAAGGCAAAGAATATGGGAAACGGATGTTTAAAACTAGGATCTGTATCTCAAAGTAGGTGAAATTACAACCTTATAATACAATAAGCTTGAATAACAAGATTGGTCTCTCCCTTTGAAAATTCATAGTAATTTCCATTATTTTGTGTTTTATGAGGTCAAATCGCATTTTAAATTCATTTGGTACGATTATGTTTAGTCTGTTGTGCAAAGGCACATTCTTCACTTGAGTTCTTTTTCTGGATTTTAAAACCCCCTGTGATTTCACAGATTTAGTAGTGATGTTGAGGTGTGGACCACATGCGATCGAATATAGTCACATTTAATGTTATCTACCAAAGCAAGCTCTTATCTCCTTGGTTTTTGAGATTCTTTGGACCTTGGTTTGAGAATGACTGCTCTGGCTTTCAAAGGAGTTATCCATCTTAAGTAGATTAACTCTGATATCTAGGTGTTTGACATGAGTCCTGATAATGTCAAGGGAATATCTCTTATTATGTAGACAGAAGACAGCAACTTTCATGTTACATTTAAGAAGAAGCATCTCAAGACACATGAGAGAGTGGTAATCAGGGTTTGTTGGTTGCATACCAAGAAACACAACTTCAATTAAGTTAAACAAACAAGTGATTTATTGGTCATAACTGGGCAGACCTTGCTTCATGCATAGCGGGAACCAAAGTTTCAGCTGATGCTGATCAGCAGGTCTCCATCTGAGACTCATCTAAGTTGGCTTCATTCTCATCAGGGCCCCTCCAGGTAGGGTCAAAGGTGGTGATGGCAGCTCCACACTGAAGTGGCCCTTAGGGTCATGATCAAAGAGAAACTATGGAGGTAGCAGGGTGCTCTCTTTCCTAGAGTATGTGATTATCTTAATGAAACACCGATTCATCCTCTGGGAGTATGAATGATAGCCCCAGTCCTGACCCAGCTGGTCATCCAGCAGATGGGTCACCCTTATCAGCCCAGTATGGCTGCAGGCATAGGACAAACTAGAGACAGAAGGCGGAGAGGCAGTAGGAGAAAGGAGTCTATGGATGTTACGACAGGAAGGAAGGGGAAGGGATGCCAGGCTGACAGTACATGTGGGTATCTGCTCCCTTATTACTGTGAATTATTTTTAAATGAGAATATATGAAACTTATGGCTCTTAGTTTTTATGGGGCGTGTCATATGTGGTATTTGTTTGATCCTGCTTTGTTTTTAGTCTATTTTTTCTTATTATCTAAATGTCCAGCTGCAGGAAATAGCATGTGCCTATAGCTTTTATTTCAAAATCTAAGGTTAGTGTTTCATGGTTAATTGTCAATAAAATTATAATGCAGGTGATAGTTTATTTTTAATTCCACCTCCCTTTGGGTATAAGTCCCTAATTTTTATTATCTACTCCTTGTTCTCTAACAAAGCCTACAAGAAATTTATTACTGGAAGAATCCAATACTTAACCCATTTTAGGTGTCACTGCTAGCCAAGCAGGGAAGGCCTTTAGAAATAAGGAACTTTCTAGAATGTTCTCACAACAATGCTAGAACAAGGAACCTATGTGTGGTGGTGTCAGGGTACACCACTGGGCTCAGAATTTCTAAACTACCTTTGAGTGGGGAATGAAGACTGGAGAGCTTTCCACATACACAGAGCCGAAGAATCATTTATAGGACAGTAAGCCTTTCACTAACAGAGGTAAACTTTTTAAGGGAGTGAGACTTGTGGACTCCATGGGTCCAGTTCACCATACAGAAGTTCACTATATACATTATCAAAGAAAAGGCTTGTAATAATCTCTTCTCCTGTATATTCTGTGTGGTATTTTCTCGAGCTGTATTAAGACTGTTGGGACAAAATAATTACTTGTCTGTATTGTGCTATATTTGGAACAGGTCTGCACATGTCTGTGGTGCTAGTTCACTTATTTATTTACTTTACAAAACTATGACTTAAAAAATTAAAATACATGCTTACATGAGGTCGGGCACCATGTCAGATGTCTCACCTGTGAACGCACACAGCAGAAAGCAACACCTAATTGTTTAGCACTGTGTTGGGAGTCCAGTTCTGGCTCTACCAAGACTCACTGCATTTCAAACATGTTTCTGGGTAGTGTTTTCCTCTCAGGGCATCTTGGTGTGTCTATCTGGAGAGATGGGTCTCCTTCAGAGGTACTCATGGATATTTAGAGCGTGCCTTTCCTGAGGTTCTTCTTTACCTTGGGGAATAGCCTGGTGCCCGAGTGACTGATGTGAGCATGGGTCCTTCTTACCCAAAACTTTTTTATCCAGGCGCATGCCCTTGTGGCTCTACTCTGACCTGTGTTTGGTTGATTCCTACTCAGACAGCCCCTTTCCAGGAGGACGCTGGGCAGGAGCGAAGTGGGGTCTGGGTGTGTCAGTCAGGTGAGACCAGGAAGAGGCAGCTCAGCAAAAACACACAGTGTAATAAGCATTTTAGTGCTCACCATGGGTCCCAGCGAGAAGAGGGCCACGTGTGCAGGAGCATTTGGAAAGGAAGGGAGAGCTGGAAGGACACAGATGTCCCACCAGTGGGTGGGGGCTAGAGAAACAGGAGACACCCATGGCCAGAGTCTTCCCTGGGACCCAGGGCATTACCAGGCAGGTTCCCGACGTGAAGTTCAAACTGTTGAGTCTGGAGCAGGAGGACATGAACCCCAGGGAGGCCTGCAGCATGGCCCATGCATGGCGTGGGGATCTGTGGGCCACCAGCTGGGTTGTATCCGGCTGTCAGATGGGAAGGTGAGCACGCACAAGGTGCATATTTTCTTCATCGACCACCTCGAGGAACCTAGTGGGTACAGAGCTGGAAATTGAGCCAAGGACTACTGAGCCCTGCTTCTGGTATGAGAAAGCCTAACTTTTATACAAAAGGGATGTGGAAGCAACATGGTTTTTATGAAATTCACTACTTGCTTCATTCCTTTGGGCTCGCAGTGTTTTCATCTATAAAAGGCAGGTGTTGAAATAAGCTATCTTTCAGGACCTTCTCAATTGCAAAGCTGTGTGATTCCACTTAAAAAAAAAATCAACAGGAGAGTGGGCTTGCTACCCTCTGCTGTATTGCGGGAGGCCACCTGTGGAACGTGTACCCATGCAGCTGCTGTGTGGAAGCCCTTCTGCGTACTCCCTTTCTGAATAGTTTGTGTCCCTCACACAGACTTCGACAGGGCAGCAAACATGGAGGCCACGTCCCACGTCTCTCTGTATGCGCTGTAGCTCTCAGGAAGAAATATGAGAATAAAATAAAGCACTGCCGGAGGAATGGCAAGGGATGGCCAACACCACAAAAGAAAACAAAACAAAGAAACCACAGGACACACACAGAGTCCTGCTGCCCAAAGTCTTCCCCCTGGGTTCTCCCAAGTATGAGGCTAGTGTGCATTTCAAGGCAGCAGAGAGCCAGAGTATGTGTGTCCTGAAGGATCTCCAGGAGGAAACCAAACTAAAAATTCAAGGGAAAGATTTATTGAACAAACGCGGGTCAAAGCACGGTTGTTTCTCTTTGTTTCCCTGATCATGGGCTGTTGTACTCCCAGGAAGACCCCGCCTTTCTGGATGCCTTTTCCAGGGGAAACAGGATGTGCCATGATCTGAGTTTCTGCTGCTTGGCTCCCAGGTCTGGAAAGGGAATCAAGAATGGAGTGCGGTTGGTAGCAGGTGCTGCGGAACACAAATCGTAACACATTTTGGTGGTGGATCTTCTTTTATTTTATCCCCAGCTTCGGTACCAGAGGTGTATTATTTTTTTCAGAATATTTTTCAGACAATCTTGAGCTTAATTGCCAACTTGTTCATGAGCTTGCTGTGTCCACACAGGGAGTACTACGCTTTTGATAGAGAAGGCTTCTGGGCAATTTCTGATTCTTCATAGAGATATTGGATGGAATCATACTGACTAAGCTGTGGCTACAGCAAACAGTCTCAATATTATGAAGTCCAAGAGGTGGGTTTTGTTGCTAACATAAAAATAGACCTCAGCCACATGCTGGTGCAATGCTTAAAGGGGGCTTGGGAGTGGAGCTTCTTCCTCTGTCCAACAAAAGATATATTTGCTGCAATTTTGACCACCACATCCCTTTGTGAAAGCTGCCCTTGGAAAACAGTATAAATAAAATAAAGTTTTATAAAGACTTTCAAACAGTCCACCTTTCTGCCCTGGAGACTATAATGACTACTCTGGTTTAAAAATCCCATTTCTTATTCCTTCCTATTTCAAGCTCCCTGGTAGTGGCTCCGTAAAATAAGCCTGTAGAAAATGGGTAATGAGGAAATCGTTGCCTTAATTGAAGGTCACATCACAAAGGTCAAGGTAGGTATCTTTTGGCTGATAGAAAAATCCCCCAGAGTGCCATTCTTCTGACCTAAAATAGAGGCTCAGGGGTAATTTGTCAGATCCATGATGGCCCTTGGTTGGTATCTACTACATTGTCTTTGTTAACCTCATAATCAGCTGATTTCCATTACTGATAACCCTGCATTTTAAGCAGAGAAGGGAGAGCCCACAATGAAGCACAAACATGCTTACAATCTTAAGTCAGAGTGGAGTGGCTTCCAAATCCTTTGGTCTTGAGTTCATGTGTTCTACACAGTTGTGACTTTCCACAGGTTCCTTTCAGTTCCAGACAGGTTAGCGCTGAGCCCTTGTCTTGTTATTTTTGTTTTTCACCTGAGTGTTTTTCTTTTAGAAGAAGAATTACGAGTGATTTTGTTGTTGTTTGCTTCCTTTCTTGTTGGTTATTGCCAATGTGCGGTGTTGACATGCTTTGTAGCCTAAAGCTGAAGAGGACATTCTAAACACAACAGATACTGTACTCTCATAATAATTTCCTAAGCCATCAGAGGACTCAGTTAGCCTACAGTGTAAACATTTTACAAGATTCTCATGACAGCATTGCTAGCCAGTAGTTTCACTTGAAAGACTCCTTAATTTTTTTTTGTTTGGCCAGTAGGCTTTCTCTTTCTGTAGCTCCAACTACTGGATATACATTCTCAGTATTTTACTTCCTTTTCTTTCCCTGGTGGAATATTTTCAATACTGCAATTGCAGTTCCTGCTGCTTATTTTGAGTGAGTATTATTATGCATGGTATCTAGCCCAGGAGTGGGATGTGCTATGGGTATCTATTTCAAAATTAGTTGGTTAGAATTCTTCATAGTCCTTTTCAGAAACAATATCACAAAGGACAGGGCAAAGGACAGCCCACCAGGACATCTTGAACTGACAGAAAGCTGAACACTCATCACTGGCATCTCTGAACTTCCTTATGTCCTAACACTGGTTATTTCTCATAGGAGTGAGGAAGGCAAGTCAGTAGGTTACTGATAGGAGTAGTCTGGGATCTCATCTTATTTAAACGCTTCTGCACTGCAAAAGAAACCACCAACACAGCTAAGAGAACCTGCAATGTGGGAAAAAATGTTTACCAGCTGATCCTCGACAAAGGACTATTATCTAGAATATATAAAGAACTCGAAAAAATCAGGCCCCCCAAATATAAAGACCTGATTCAAAAATGGGCATCTGAAATGAACAGACATTTCTCAGCCAAAGAAGTAAAAGCAGCAAATAAATATATAAAAAAATGTTCCACATCACTGGTCATTCGAGAGATGCGGTTGAAAACAACAATGAGATTTCACCAAATGAGATACATTCATGAGACTGCAAGGACAAATAGCCTGGATGGAGGTGCTCTAAAGTAACAGCTAGATTAAGGTCATACCTGTGTGCATAGATCCTGGCAGGAGGAGCCCTAACAACTGAATGCATTGATTTGAATAGGGTCATAGGCAGTGTCTTTGGTGGGGCCAGGACAGCTTTGGGGTTTGCAGAAGGGCAGCTGGTAAGCTGCAGTTGCTTCTAATTTGTACATGGCTTATTTGGACATTAGGGTCTGTCTTATTCGATAAGGGTAAAATTATAAATTTAAAATCAACCACATTTTATATTATAGGATCATTTGATGCTTTCAAAGGCTTAATGGTGTCTCATCATTTTTCTAGTGAAACAAGGGCATAGATTTCTCTTTTCTTCAAATCATGTTTTTGCCATTGGGTAAAAATGGCTATGTGTAATGCACTATTTTTTAAATTGTCAAGAGTAGTTTTTGAGGGTTATTATCATTATTCCACACTTTTCATGACTTAAAGATGTTTTTTGTACTGTGACTTAGCCATAAAAATAGAACAATAATACATCCAAGTGTAGAAGTCAATTGCTAAGTGACCCCCACAGTTTTTGCTTCAAAACTATTATACTGTGCTATTTTTAATATCAAATTGCCATTGTTTGGAGGCAACATAATTATTTCAAAGTGTTTCCAGCAATCTAGTTGATATTTGAGAACTATTACCCCAATCCTTCTGTTATTTTTCATATGTGTTCTTATTACTAACAATTGTTTGGTAAAATCTTTCTGATTGTTCTTCTCTTCTTGTCTTGGAATGTCGTAGTCTAGAAATATTTAGACAGCTTACTGTTATGTCTGTTATATCCTTGAGGCCTCCAGAAAGGGCAGCTTCTTTTTCCAACACCAACTATGTATCCAAGGTAGAGTTTAGAAGGCCTCAGTGACATGATCAATAAACCATTTTGAGAATTGCTCAGAGCTTCCTTTTATCTTTTTTAAAAAATACAACCTTTAAAATCAGAAATCCTGGCACAGCACTCTCCAACTGTGCCACAGAAGGACATAAGGATGTTGGTGCTTTTCCCTGTCTATTTTTGTCCCCTACTAAATCACAGCCCTGGAAGGGAGCTTCAGGAGTCATCAAGCTGTTGCATTGCCTTCATGCTCAACATCACAAGGAGAGATAATCGGCCTGCTCTGAAAGGCTCGCCAGGGGAACGTATTTCAAAACCAACCAACAAATACTTGTGCTTACTATGTACATGGAACAGTATGGGAAGAATGTGGAAAATGATACGACATTATCCATAGCCCCAAGCATCTTACGTATCATTTGGAGAGAAAAGATACACACATGGACACAAAGCTACCGGCAAACACTCCTGAATGTGGGGTAGCTCTTGAGGGTCTCACTTCATTGAAAATTTGCATTCTTGTCCTCCTCGCCAGTGGAGCCTATCATTATGACTGGGAAATTGAAACCACTAAGAAATTCACAGCAGTTCTATATTCTAAGGTCTCTAAAGTCGACCTAATTTTTAGGTCTGTAGAGGTTAACTGATGATTCTAGAAATAGCCTGGATACCAATTTTGACTTTACCAATTATTAGCAGTGTGGCCTTGGGCAATCTACTTGCATGTTTTT